AGCTGTAGATTGCCGGTGGTTCGCGCAGCCTTCCGGTAGTCTTGGGGACGCGCTTTTTCGGGACGGGCCTTTGCATAACAAAGATTCATAGTTTTTCCTCCCAAATGCGTCCAAAGGTTTGAAGATTGCTTGGGCCCATTCCGTTCCATCCCTTGAGGCGCATTTGCTCACTGTGGAGTGTGTGAACTGGCCGTCCATTCCGTACAAGGATGCTGGCCCTCGCCCTCCGCACGCGCCTGGGGAGTACTGCGGAGAGCCGGGGTTCGAAGGCACATTTGGAGGGCTGAAGCGGCCTGGCCCGTTCCTCGGCTCGGGAGCCCATCCACGCCAAGGCCGCACTAATCCTTGTGGCGTGGCCTTGGCTCTTTGAGTAAGACCCCTTAGAGCGACCCCATTTCTGTGGGCAAGGGATTGACCATATGAAGGCTGGGACGCGCTCTGTAACTAAAGATGACCCTATGGCCCATAGGACATACCAGACATCCCTCGATCAGACACCCCTCGTTACACAGGTTGCGCACCCACGCGAGACAGGCAGAGTTGGTGCAGTGTCACTTTGCGCAAGCCTTTCTCGGAATTTCCAGGCGAGTGGTTCTTAGTGGAGTGGCTCACATCAACCTGCATCCGGTGGCATCTCTTCGGCTCTCTGCCCAAACCTTTCAGGGGCTTTAACCGAAGATTCTGCCGATCACCATGCACGAAGGCACCCGCCTCCCAAGCAGACATACCCAAAAACAGAGAGAAGGCCCCAAATGATTTCAGCAATCTCAAGCCCTGCCTTCCATTCCCCTATCTCCGAGCCCTCTCCCCTGTCTTTGCCGGGCATCGGGTTGGCCGACATATTCATTGAGGAATTCATCCCACCCATTGGGCCACCCATGCCGCCATTCATCCCACCGTTCATGCCGCCATAGCGGGGCGGGCCCGCATTGGTCGGCCCGTTCATCTGTGAGGGTCCTGCATCGGTGGGCTAAAGACAACAGTCCAAGCACAGGCTGGAAGCCCTGCGCCTTGTCTGCCAAGCCTGTACATCTGCCACTTTCTGCATGCTTTTATGAGTTCAGCCATTGAACATGTCCCTGCCGCTGTGGTTGCAAAAGGTTTTCCTCGATAAGAAGGTTCCATGGAAAGCACAAACGTTCTCCCAAGCCGAGCGGACCCCAAAGCACACCCAAAGTCCCGGGCACTGAAGCGCACAGAGGTTACAAGTCGAATTGCCAAGCTAACAAAGGGGCTGCCGATGTCACACAGTGATACTGCTCATACCTTTCTGCGTTCCCATCATGTGCCAATCAAGCGCAAATGTCAGTTGTGAGCTTGGTATGGACAACATGCTGTTGCCCGAGAGGATGGCCAAAAACAAATTGCAGCATGCGACGCACAAGCCCAAGCCAGCTGTCGTCCCAACCAGGACAAGAGAAAAGCCCAGGTATACGGCCATCCTGCACGCGTGACAGAACCGGTGCCCGTGCTGCTGCTGAAATCAAACTATCACACAAATTATACATTGTCTGGTCAGTTCGATTGCCCTTGTCGAAATCCCATCCAAAACCACATAGCACGGCCAACACCCAGTGTTCACCAACACTCGACGGCTGTCGGGTCCCATCATCACTGGCGCTTCGCGATAGGATACTGGCGGCACGTTCAGGGTCTGCAAGATGTTGTCCAGCTCCTGCAGCTGCAAGGATGTCAGACGAATCTCCCCCAAGCTTGGAAGGATTCCCGCAGACATTAGATTAGCCTTATTGTTGCATCCCTTTGACTCTTTTAACAGCGGCTAAACACATCCCGCCAAGCACAATGGAAGCGAGTGCCCTTCCAGAAGTTAGACTATCAACCAGACCCGCCTGCATGCCCGTGGATACACAGACAAACATCAACACACCTGGACCTGGACCCACTTCGCTAGAACAAGTCACCAAAGACTCAACCACAAGTGAAGTGAGGCGCAGGACTGTCGGAAGGGGCGCTCACAGCTGAATGAGGCACCGAGCGCCTGGTTGTAAGAGAATTGTGGAAACCAAATTAGATAATTTTGTATGTGCTCGGTCAGAAAGCCGCCCGTTTTAGTCCTACCGGCGCTGCGGAAGCTCTTATGCTACCGGTACCTGCATCATTACAGCTGGCCCTTAATTACACCCCTGTAACGTTCCTCTTATCGTTCCTCTTATCCCGAGCCAAGCGTTTCCGTGACCCTGTGCTTCATGGCGTCCTTCCGGGTCCTTCCGGGTCCTTCCTGGGTCCGTTTCTTTTTGGCTCCTTGGCGATGGCAGCGTTTTGGTTCTGCAGCTCCGCGGAGCTCATGAGGTGCTTCTCCGCCAGCTGCCGGTGCTCGTCCAGGCTGCCGAAGCTGTCGGCCAGCGCCCCCTTGCCACCTCGGCTCGCCGGCCCGCGGCTCAGCCAGGCGCTCGGGCCGGACCGGTCGGACCGGTCGGACCGGACGGATTTCCGGGGCTCCCGGGATGCGGGCCGTTGGGCCGTTGCAAGCAGTTGAAAAGGTCGCTGTCTAAGTGGCGGCACTGGTTTCTGTGGAAGGGCGGTTGCGCCTGGAGCAGTTCTGGTTCGGACTGGGCTGCAAAGTGTGCACCGGATGTTCAGCAAAGCTCATCGCCGCAGGAATGCAAATAAACAACAAACACCAGCCCGTCAAGCGCCGTCAAGCATGGGGGGCAGAATGCCATCCTGTTGGCCCATGTCCTTCTGAGTCCTGTTTCAGGCACTCATGTTGGGTATGAACCCAAATAAATGTCCTGGCCCCGGCACATATGGGTAGAGCGCTTGATGGAAAGTGTGATTTGTTCAATGGGTTTCACTGTATGTTCCCCCCTATGGGCTGATCCATTGAAATGTCCACGTTTTTCCATAGGCTCTTCCAGGTGTCATAGCTTTCCCCATATGTTTCATATCTTAAAGCTCTAAAATGTTTCAAACATCCTCTTGTTGGTTTCCCTTGTCGTGGTCGGTTTCCTTGAACCACTTGAAGCCAACCCCTCTGCCTGTGAACATTTCCTCCAGGAGCTGGTGCATCTGCTGCTTCGTGGCCTCGTGGGCACCGTGCTTCTGCCCCACCTGGCTACGATGGCTAGGTACCCCTTCGGTATGTTCACCAGGTTTTACATAATGGTTTTCTGTGGCTTTTTCCTGACATGACCTGTCATGCTGCGTCGTCTGCTAGTGTTATTGCTTGTGGCAACGGTGGGCGTTGCTTGCCTCATCTGTGAAACCTGGCGCCTTCAAGAACCAGTTTGCCAAACCATGAAGAGCATGGTATCCTGTGTCATGTGCGCTTGCTTTGAAAACCTTGGAAGAGGCTTTTAAGGGGTCTCCAAAAACGAGCGCAGCGCGCCTCAGCAGCCTTGCCCACCAGCATGGAGCTGTTCCCGCAAATGTTTTCCAGCATGTTGTGGTATTCCTTCCTTGGCCGATGCTGTACATTAGGCTTCAGGTGTTGGCTTCCTGGGGTGATTCATGAGGTGATTCACGGGATGATTCGAGGGGCTTCGTAATGTCGGCCGCGGATGCCCTCCGACCAATGGGCGGTTCTTGAAGCAAGCTCTGTCTTTTGAGTCTTACCCAGCCCTAAACGCAGAGACGGAATGGAGTCAGTTCAGTTGATTGAAACATCAACACGTCCCCTCAAATCCGCCGACACCGTGATCTCAAGAAAATGGCACAGTACCAGGTAGCTGGTGCCCATTCACGATATATATATATATACATATAACATGCCCAGCCCAAAGTGCGGAGATACCTCATGGGCAGATGTCAAAACTAATTAAGTGTCCCCGTTAACATCCTGGCGTCATTTTGCATCGCCTCCAAGGGAGGTCTGAAAACCCAGGATACACAAAGCCATGGCCTAAAGGGGAGGTGCATTTATGGCATTGAAACTCCCAAGCCTTGAGTCATTGCAAATAGAGATCCAACACCGGTGAGCACAAAACATACCGATTGGAACACACTCAAAATGGCTTTCATTCGCACACATATCTCATGCCCTCATTGGCTTCTTGAAGAAAACCTTCTTTGCCGTTGTATGTCTGACTCTTTTTGGACGCGACTAGCAAATGAGTCAAGCAGGATCTTCACCACCCCCCCGCCACTCCCCCACCACCACCCCCAACCACCACCACCCCCAACCACCACCACCCCCAACCACCACCACCCCTAACCCACCCCGGCCCAGACCTCTGGCCGCAAGCGGCTCCTTACCCAACTGGAAGGCGAGCAGGTCCGCACAGCGCGCAAGCTCGCCGCGGTAGAGGAGGATGTCCTGGCGTATGGGACCGGATCTCGGAACAGCAGGGGTTGCAAGGGAACATGCGGCTTGATGATGATCCGGGTGGGTCCAGGGTCCGGGCATGTCAAAGTCACTTCCAAGTAAAGCCTGAAAAACTTCGTGTCCAAGTGGGACGCCTGGCCGGAGCTCAAGGGATTGCACGAAAAGGTAACCTTCCAAACTCACGCAGGAGTTTAAGTACTGGCAGTCATAGCTGCGCAGCTTTGGGGGATAACCTGACAACGCCCGATGAAACGGACTCAAAGAGGTCCCAGCGGCAACCCAGCCAAGCCAAGAGTGATCCTGTCAAAGATCTGGCACGGCCCTAGCAATCCTAGTGCTCTTTTGGGGTCGGGCCACCAGTTCTTAGCGGACCTTCGCCCAAATCGACTCTCACCAACCCAAACCAGCAGGTCTATGCGGCCGCTCGCGCGAATGTGAGGAACATATCGAGTGGTTGGTCAGCCCAAGGATGGCGCAAACGGGGGGAAAAATCGCAAACGACCAAACCACCCCGTTGAGGATAACCAACTCTGGACTAACCCGCTGCGTGCCGGAGCTTTTTGACGTGAAGCGTTTGATCCAATCACATTGCATGAAGGGGCCGGCGCTGCGACACGTTCAATTCAAGAACCCCCGGTCCACTCCCAAACCTGGCGTGGCAAGCTACACAGCACAGGCTCATGCGATCTTGTCATGCCAGAACCCTGGAAAAGAGGCCTGTCCTTGCTCATCTGGCTCACCTCTCGCTCGTACTCGATGCAAAGCTGGTCCACCATCTGGCAGTGCAACTGAAAGCATAGGGGGCAAATCAGGCAGCATGCTACCCCCTTGAACACGTACATGTTACAAGCATATTTTACTGCGACTTCTGGCATCCAGCGGAAAACAAATGAACTGGCATTTGCCTTGCACGTCTTCATCTGAACCTCACCCCAGCCAGTTGCCTGGATGCAAAAGCTGCGGAAGGCATTCACCTTGGGCGCGACCTCCGGCTGCTGTTGCTGCTGCTGATTCATCCTCAGGCGGAACAGGCCTGATCAGATGAACCTCACCCGGGGTCCGGGACATGCCCTTCCCGTTTTGCTTCTGATAGGCTTGCCATCCTCCCCAAAGTCAGCAAATATCGGACACATACTGCAAACAGACCTCGGAGATGTAGCAGAGCCGGGGGCTTTGCAAGGTCACCACTTTTCAAGACCCAGCCGAAATTGATCCGCAAATGCTCCGTCGAAGTAGATCTGGGCTGCGGGCTGTCAGAACTTCCATTTCACTCTTGCTAGCTTCGCCCCTAAGGGCACATTCAATTTTCTCTGCGTGAGAAGCTACGTAGACATCACGAATTGAAAAGTCCACACGGCACGGAAACGGGCGATAGCTCCATGTCTCAATGGCATGTCCTTCAAATTTTGATCTTACCCCTTCTCATGGCATCCACCTTTACGCCCATTACGCGTTGGCGGGCTCAGATTATAGAATCTACAAGCTCAAGTTGCCAGGCCAAAAGCAAAGCCAAAATCCAGTGTGCACTTAGCTTTGAATCCCATGCCCGCTAAAATAGAGCACCTGTCTCGAGTCTTCTTCTTAAGGTCCGCGGAATCATTCAGGTTCCAAACTCTTTGTGACACCACATTTCTGGAGGACCCCCCCGTGAATTGCTATGAGAGCTTGAAACACTGGATTTGGGTTGGCAGGTGCCCTAAGCACATTTTAGCCATGATTCTTTGAGTAAACCAGCCATCACTCTTGCCCTTCCGGGGTAAATGTGAGTCATGATCTTCAGTGGTCTTGAAGTAGACTGTACCACTACTACTCTAGTGGCGCACATGTGATTCATGGTTACAGGGTGCTACGCGCCTCTTCTGGTTGCTCTCCCCCTGAGAAGAAGGTCAATCACCTTTGTAGGTGTAATGAATTCGACATCTGCTTCCAAACGCTAAGAAAGGCCGAACCCGCTAGAAAAGACAGACACCTTCATCAGCACCACACTTACATACACAGCACCAAAGGCTCTGCCCAGCTGGGGCCCCGAACGCGACGGTGCGAAGGAGCGGGATAGAACAAGGCGTGATGGTTCTACGGCTTGAGCAAAGGCTTCTGCAGTTGCACAGAGGAGGGGAGCCAATCTTGGCACGGCATGTGCAAATTGTGCAGCAAGGCATTGCCCCTGCCTGAATTCCGCCCACCCACGCACCACGTCGTGGCTGACACACTCATGTCCATGGCCAGCGTTCAAAGGCACAAACAAGGGTGTATACACACGTGCATGCAAGTATGTATATATATATATATATGCGTGTGTGTGTGTGCGTGTGTGTGTGTCTAATATACATATGGATTTAAAATTGTCAGTGCTGTTACAAATGCTAGTTTACTTCCTAGCCCCACGAGTTCTATGTCAAACATCCGTTGAAAACAGCACACGGCCAAGAAAGTATGCATCGCACTTCGGCCAATAATAGCGTACTTTCGCACTGCGGATCCTTTTTGCTAAACTCGGCAAGGACAGGACTCGATGTTAAGCTTCAGAGGCCGGAGATCCCAGAACGCTCCAGAAGAACGGGTCGGAAAGCGTGGCTATGCCACTCCTTGCGGATCTTTTTGGAAGTCGATCCAAAGCGCTTCCGCTGGCTCCCCACTTGGACTCAATGAAGGCAACTGCCCCCACACACACACACACAGACACAGACACAGACACAGACACAGACACAGACACAGACACAGACACAGACACAGACACGGACACGGACACGGACACGGACACGGACACGGACACGGACACGGACACCGACACAGACACAGACACAGACACACAGACAGACACAGACACAGACACAGACACAGACACAGACACAGACACAGACACAGACACAGACACAGACACAGACACAGACACAGACACAGACACAGACACAGACACAGACACAGACACAGACACAGACACAGACACAGACACAGACACAGACACAGACACAGACACAGACACAGACACAGACACAGACACAGACACAGACACAGACACAGACACAGACACAGACACAGACACAGACACAGACACAGACACAGACACAGACAGACACAGACACAGACACAGACACAGACACAGACACAGACACAGACACAGACACAGACACAGACACAGACACAGACACAGACACAGACACAGACACAGACACAGACACAGACACAGACACAGACACAGACACACACACACACACACACACACACATGTTTGAATGCTGATCCGAACAAGTACGCTTGAGTACGCCCCTACAAAGTTGCATCATTGTCACCTGAGTCAACCATCATGTAAGACAGTGTGAGATGCCGCCATTTCAACGGAGCAAGCCACCCCCTCCCTCTCAGGAAAGAACCTTTGCAAGGGCTCTTGAAAGGTTCTGGCCACATATCCAGACCTGACTTTCAATTGGCTGCGCCCTGTCAACACTTGAAACTACCAAGTGATCTTAGTCAAATATTCAAGCACTGTGAGCTACCCCATGGCTGGAATCGCGAACCAGCAAACCAACCAACCAACCAACCAACCAACCAGCCAGCCAGCCAGCCAGCCAGCCAGCCAACCAACCACGTGGCCAAAGACGGGAAAGGAAGCCCTGCAAGTACCCAACAAACACGCCGCCCAAGGAGAATCCAGCACTTTTGGCTAAAAGCCAGCGGCTCAGCCCTGGACCGCCTCCAGCAAGGGCAGCTCTCGCTGACGTGCCCTGAGGCACGACGGCTTTCATATGGAACTCTCGGTGGCCTGTGGCAGTTTCTCAAAATTAGGGGCCCCTTTTAGATGGCTTTCAGAGGAAACCGAGAAAAAAGGACCAAAAACGACCGCCTGAAAGAGTCCCTGAATTTGACTCCGAAAAAGGAAACCGAGCAGCTGAAAGGGTCCCTGAATTTGACAAACCCTCCAGTGGTGATTTTCCCACTGGTTTCCCGAGAACACAGCCAACAGGGTGCTGCCAACAGCACTCTCATGTCAGAACTTCGACCTGGCCACTGGTTCCCCTCACTTTCGCTCTTTCGCTCACTCTGCATCATTCCAAAAATGTACGCGATGGTCTATATGCCCGATCTAGGCGAACAAACACCTGCTTGGTTGTGTCTGTATGCCTTTGGGTGTAGGCGTGCATGTGCCGTAAGAATGCATTTGTTTCGCTTTGAGGTCAAAGCGGATCGTATCCCTTCTGAGGCACTTGTTCAAACTCCAAACAGCCATTGCAAACATCTCAGAACCGCCTCTGCGCTTAAAGCGGTCCGTCGGTGGTTCGAAGCCAAGTCTGGAACATATTGATTGTGGAGTACTTGGGCACTGACAGATACAAAAGTGAGACTTCAACACAGTGCCAGATTTGGTTCTATGAAATCGGATGGGGCTTCCTGCGAATGATGTCGTTTTGGGCGCTGCGATTCCATCAAGGTGGCTGGGGTTTGACGTCCAGAATGTCAGGAATCCAGCGAGATCCCGCTAGCCCCATGCCACTGCTCCCATTTTTTCTCGGCCCTGCCAATCGAGGCCCAGTTCTCAGTTCTCCGCTTCTGGGGAGGTTGCCAATACCAGAGCCGTGTGCATACATTTGTCTTGCTGATCATGGGTGTGTATAAGTGCAAAAGTGTATGCATGTAGGCGCGTACATACTCGTGTTCTTGGCGGGCGGTAGCTAGCGAAGCTGAAGCAAACGCACTTGCGCACGACAATGCAGTGTGCCACCTGAGGCGTCTGAGCAGCAAAAGCAACAAAGAGATGGAAGACAAAGTGGAAAGAAAGCGAGAAGACAACGTGAAGAGAAGAGTGGCACGAACAGCGTGGAAACAGTTGCAAAGGGGAAAAGGCATGAAGAAAGGGGACAGGGGGGAAAAAAGAAGATATTGAGGAGCCATGAACAGAGCGGACAAATCAGCGGACAAAAATGATGAAACGTTCGAGCCGCTGGGTAGGGTGGGGCCCCGCTCAAACCCTGCTAAAGTCAGGCGTTGTGAGAAGCTCAGTCCCCCAAAGAAGCTGAAGCAAACTGAACTCCTGCTAGTACGGCTGGCTTTCGTGAAGAAGGTATGAATGTAGGCATTAGGCATGTAGGCATGCCTCTAGTCACGTAGGCACCTAGGTATGTATGCATGTAACGGTATGCAGGTACGTAAAGCAGCATCTCCGAACCAACCAGAACACACACATGCTGTCGCCTATCATTTCCATGGCTGATTTGCAGTTGCAGCATCAAATTGGCCCCTCATTGACGGCACTGGGCCGGCTACCGGGAAGCAAAATTTGGCCACCTGGCCATCGTCAGCTAGGTCACCTCAGGACCTAGAAATCACACCTAGGGGCTGGGCCTGCGCGTATCTTCCTGGTGGCACTGCGAGCCAGGCAAAATTCACAAGCGTAACCCCATTGCCAGAGGCTGTTTGGCTAGGAGCGCAAGGGCAAAGGCCAGCCTTATAGGCGAGGCCAAGGCACCTTGAACGCTGGGACCTGGCCACCAATTCTTGAGCTCGGGGCGGGAAAATTCCACCCGGCCCCCCCTTGTGCATTGCCTCGGGGCTTCCCGAGACTTGACACTCGGAGGCCCATCGAGGGCCACGGCACCTGCAAAACTTCCTCGCTGGAGAGGGCACCAAACCCACCTTCAGATACAAGATGCCCAACTGCTCAACAGGAATGGGCCATGGAAACAAACCAGCTTTGCAGCGCAACCATCGCATGCATGCCTTGCCCAGAACGTGCCATCCCAAGCGAGAAAAATCACAAGGGAAGAAGAGCATAAGCCCGGAAGCCCGGCCGTTTCGCAAAAAAAAATCGTCACTTTTGCACATTAGTGCAATCAAATGGAGAACGTGTCGGAATCTACGGCATTCCCGACCCCTGCATGACCGACATCACAGGTGTGTGGCTGAGGGCGTTCCACGCGGCAGCCAGTACAATGAAACAGCGTGGTGGTGACGGTCAGCCATGCCACGAAATAGGCCACGGGGAGATAGCTGCTGGGTTCCGTGCGCAGCAAGATCTGCTGAAGCGCCACCGGCGCAGCTGAAGCCAGCAGGGTAACCGTGGATAAGAGGGCTACAACCAGCGAACGGCGCAGAGGAATCTTCACCCCCACGCTGCACAGCGCCTGCAAGGATCAAAGCTCAAGTGAGCCCAGAAGGCAAGCCGCCGACCACCTGGCCTTCCCTTCCCGCTTGCCAATTACCGACCCAACTGCTTGGACCCTTGATCCTCTCTCCTGCTCGAAACCAATGCCAACTTGATGCAACGCTTTCCCTGGAAAGTCCCAATCTGCTGGCAGGCTCTGATGGAACTATCACTTTGAAGGCACGAGGGAAGCTGAGGAACCTACTCAACAAGAACATCTGGACAATTGCCATTTCTCTTTGGCCTCAGAAAAGCACACTCCACCCACATGGCCGGAGCTTCCCCGGACGCGAATCCTGGTTCATCCAGACCCCGAAGAGGGAGCCCAGCGGCACTTGCGCCCAGTTCACCAGCACCCGGAGGAACCAGGCAGCCTGAGACAAGACCAAGGTGTCCATGGGCAAATTGGGTCTTATGGAAGCAGACAAAGGAGCAACCAGCGGGTGGTCTTACATCCTGGCTTGTGGAAAATTTTGCCCCTCACCCCCCCCCCCCCCTATGAAGATGGAAGATAGCTGGTGAAATGGGGCCGCAAGCCTGATGTAGGAACAAATACGGGCTGGGGATGGGACAAAGTCTGCGAACCTGGGTGAGTTCATGCTGAAATTGGGCGAGTTCATGCTAGCGGTGACAGCCTGACGCCCTGGCCTGATCCACAGCCTCCGGTGAAGCATCCGCGCGCAAGCTTCGAAGCTGCAGGACCAGGATAGGAACGCTGCCGCTGCACGCCATGTACACTGCGTAGCCCAGGCTGGCATAGCCATAGCCTGAAATCGGAAGGAAACCACAAGCTCCCGCGACCCCTAAGCCTGGATCTTCCATTGTCATGTGTATGTCTGCCCCTTCTGAATGTGTGTTACGTATCCTAGATGTTTGCTCATTTCTGGAAAATCTGCTCGATCAGAATTGGTCAGAGCTACAGGAACACTAGCTTGATAGTTTGATCTGCCCAACTCAAAGAACACACGTTGCGCAATGCAAAGCAGGAAGGGGATTTCGGGCGCGGCTGGGTCTGAACTAATTTGTACACTCGGGCCAATTGTGTTCTTTCCATCTCATGCTCAGTGACCTTTGTTGGGCGAGATCGTTCCACTGCTGTTTCGCCAGAGAAAACATTCGTGCCCGAAAACGGGACTTGCGCTCGGTTGCTGCGTTCTGCGCTCGTTTTGCTCCAAAGCTTGCCGAATCGTGTCGGCCATTGTCCGAACAGGACAGATTGCGCAAGTTCTGGACAGCAGGCCCCGCAACAAGCTCCCCAGTTATGGGCAAGTTTTGTTTGAAGAGCCTCCACTAAATTCAATTCAAGAGCTAGCCATCTGTTTGTTTTAAAATGACATCTTAGACCCCTGTTTGGGTCCATGCGTGTGGCGTTTTGCCAAGCAACCTGCTCGGCCATTTCCTAAGTACATATGTGAAGAAGGGCCTCAATACTCAGTACTTTCTTCAAGAATTCCGCACGAATTGCTCGAACTAGGAAAAAACATTACGAACCCGCCAAAACAGTGACAAAAGCATAAAGGTGCAATAAATTATGTGATGATGGAAGCAAGCCTGGGAAGGCCTTTTAGAACCTTTCTGAGGGCCAACGGGTTACTCTCCGATCTGGGCGCTAATATGGGGCAGGATATGGCAGGATGCTGAGCACGTTGCATTGATCCCAGCCGGACGGCATTCGCAATTCCACGGATATGCAGAGGCCACACACGACAGCGTGAACTCTCATGCATGGCATAGGCTACATGCGCAAACATATCAATGGCCGCACTGGATGCCCAAACACACAAACAGCGGCCCTGACCAAGGCCCTGAAGGAGCAGGGAGGCTTCAGTGACAGCAGAGTTGCCCCGACCCAGTCCGAAGATCGAACCGATCCTTGGCAAACTCATGAAGTACAGAGAGATGTTGATAGCCTAAAAGTAGGAGCCGCGGACTGAAGGTCTTTGTGAATCTGCAAAAGACTGGAGAGGCTCAGAACAACCAGAAGGCCGTCTTCGAAAAAAGGACCAACCGCGCACAAATGTCGAATGACGTCAGCACGTGCCTTGTTCGATTCCAGCGCAGCACGCGAGTGGGCCGAGGAAAGGCCACGAGGAGCCACTCCTCTGGGGAGATGCGAGGTTACCGAGGAGCATCTCCGAGGGTCTCAAACATGGGGGGGAACCTTTGTCTCCAGCGAAAGCGCCCGGTCAAGGCGCCACAGGAAGATGGAGAATGCTACAGCGTCCGCACGGCGTGCAGGATTGCCAGATTCATGCTGGCCAGCACGCGTGGCAACAGTCCCCACCGTGCCGGTTTTCTCAAAGCCATGCCCCATTTCCTCGTGGCTTAATGTGATGATGGCATGAAACCTTCGACGTTCTTTTTGAAGGAGTCACCTTCGGACACAGGCCTGAGTGAATCACATATAAGGAGGCCGGAGCAAGTGCAAACCACGCTTCCCCTTGCGCTGTCGTTGCAAAATAGGCTTTATGGATCATGTTCTCAGTAGATCATGGGTGCACCTTTTTTTTGGGGTATCCTTCTTGGGCTTTTGAAGGGAATCCAAAGAGGAAACTACCGATTTTGGGGTGCTAAATCAAAACTGAGCCGCATTTCGAACCACGCAAACTTGTCCTTGCGTGTAAGAGGGTCCCTTTTTGAGCCGATTGCCTTAGATGAAACCACACCAAAGCAGCACCCATTTTGACACCTATTTTGGGGTGTGTTTGTTTTGAAGGTACCACCTTGTTCAGGTTGAAATAGAAGGGACTTCGAAGAAAACCCACCTATTTGGGGAGGGTCCACCCTTTTTTTTTTTTGCCGGGGGGGGGGGGGGGTCCACGGGGTCCACGATTTCGACACCTACCCATTGGTTCATTCCGGCCAAGAAGCCCACACACTGCAGCACCTCCTGGCGGAAGCCCTGCCGCAGCAGCTTCTCGAACCTCGCAAGGGCGTCATCGGGGCTCTCGGGCTCGCTGAACCATCTCCTCAACAGCCGTGGTGTGTCGTTTGAGGGCACTGTTTTGAGGGCGTTGGAACTTTTTGGGTCGGGTTTTTGATGGAAAAACGCAGACCCCGGGAATCTGAAAAACGCAGCCCCTTAGGGCGTCCCCTTCTGGAAGGAAAACCACCATCTTGGGGCTAATCTCCTGGTTGAAAACTCCAAATATGTGCTACCTGACCCAGTCGTTGGGGATCCCGACTGATTGATCACTCTAACGCGTGAGTTCAACCAAAAGGGAACCGAGGCCCCGGCTTCAGTGGCATCTTCTGGCAGCTAGAGAAACCTAATTTAAGAGAGACGTCTGTCTGCCAGGGGGGCATTTTTGAGGTTTTAGGTTTGGCCTGCCTTCACACCAAAAAAGACACCCGACTTCTGTTTGAGAGCAGGGCTGGGATCCCAACCCAGCCTCCCCACCCTGCTGGATCAAGATATGACTGTGCCGGGAAACCAGATACTCCAGCTGGTCAAACCTTCAATGATACACATCTTGCTCATGCTTGAGGTGGCCTCATGCACCACACCTTGCCACATTCACTGGGTCTTTGGGTCCCCTATTGCAACTTGTAGCTTACCCCCTCGCTTTCCAAAACAAATGCCGCGGTCCTGATGGACTTCAGAAGCAGGCGCCGGTCGCAGGGGAGGGATGTCTTCCCATCGGTATGGCCCAGGCTGCAGCAGGTGCACTGTGCTTTCGCGAGGTCGAAGCATCTCAGCTGTTCTGGCAGCTTACGCACGTCCTGCGAAGCGATTGGAGTGACACCTACCTGCCTGCTTCGACTCAATAGTAGCAAGTGTTCATTGACTGTGCTTAGGGCTCTTTGAGTTGTTGGTGCGGGTGTCACTTAGGAATCCAACAGCCAAAGCAGGTGACATGGGCATCATGGGAGGTGCTTGTTTGTTTCCAATCACTTTGCAATCGAGGCGTGACCGAAACTTGCGAGTCTGTTCTGGCTCATTTGAGTCAATGCCAGCTTACCCGTGGTAAGGCAGGTGTGCGAACCAGTTTCCTGGAGGTGTATGTTGTTTTTTGTATTTTAACACAAAAATGTTGTTGCCCCATCTCAGCCCTATATAGTTCTCCCAGTCGCTTCTCAGTAGACAATTCCGGCATGCCATTCTGCAACGGTGCAAACATGCACAGCCCTTGCTTTCCTGTAATCACAACACTCCCAAAACCAGAGGCATACATGATACAGGGATCCTTCACAGGTCAGCTAGTTTGCCCCTGGCTTCCCTCGCTGTAAACTTGGCAAAGCCGTCTCCTCCATGATTCGCAAGCCCAGGAAGAAGCGCATGGGCAGCACAACCACCCCGAACATGAGGAGCAAGGCCCCAGTGAAGGTCGGCAGCTCCTCCCCTAGAGCGAGGAAACTCACAGCCCAAACCGCCACATCCGCTTAAAACAATGTTCGCTCATGTTCTTTGCGCCTCCACCCAAGTCAAACATGTGCCCATCCTTGCATGGCGCTTCAACATCAAGTAGCCGAGTACCGCCCTTGGCAAGCTTGACTGCGTGGGAGAGCGCCCTCTCAAACGGCAAGGGCACACCCCCAATTCAGGGGCAGGCGAACTACATAATGTCATGTAATCTGCTGGACTGCTCACACTGAGGCTTATAAGCATTACAATGGTTGGTCTGCGTTGTTCTGTTGACGGAGGTGAACACAAACCAGAAAAGTGGCTATCCCAGTGCAAGGTCACGAGATGAGATTGGAGCAAGCAATGGGTAACAACCCTTACCTAACGCCTTTTCCGTGTACAAGAGAGTAGGGGGGTTTGGGTTGCGTAACGCCTAGAAGCCTAGAAGCCTAGAAGCCTAATACTGGCATCACGCCTAGAAGCCTAGAAGCCTAATACCGGCGTCACGCCTAGAAGCCGAGAAGCCTAGAAGCCTAGAAGCCCAGTACTGGCGTCACGCCTAGAAGCCTAGAAGCCTAATACCAGCGTCACGCCTAGAAGCCTAGAAGCCTAGAAGCCTAATACTGGCGTCACGCCTAGAAGCCCTAGAAGCCTATATGCTTTATCATTTTGGTTGCGTTTCTGCGCCTTTGCACTTTTCTGCACTTACACGCTCACGCTTTATTGCGCCTCATTACGCTTCTACGCTTCTGCGCTCAATTGCGCTTCTACGCTTCTGGGCTTAATTGCGCTTTTGCGCTTCTGCGCTTAATTGCGCTTCTACGCTTCTGCGCTGTATTGCGCTTTTGCGCTTCTGCGCTTCTGCGCTTCATTGCGCTTAACTGCGCTTCTACGCTTCTGCGCTTAATTGCGCTTTTGCGCTTCTGCGCTTAATTGCGCTTCTACGCTTCTGCGCTGTATTGCGCTTTTGCGCTTCATTGCGCTTCAATTGCGCTTGCACGCGCTTATTTGCGCTTCTACGCTTTACATCGCTTTACTGCGTTTCTACGCTTTATTGCGCTTCTACGCCTCTACGCTTAATTGCGCAATGACTATTGAGGCTGATAAATCATCATTTAGGAAAATACACCCTCCGTGTCCGACGGTGAAACAGGAGGACAAGTATTAGGGGTCAGAAACAACCAAATTAACTCAAGCGGCATGAGGTCCTCACGGGAATAGGCACTTTATGATCAAGCAGAGGCCAGCTAAGATCTTCCGTCTCCACTGGCCATCGCTCTCGCGAGGCAACACCTACACCTGTACACCGGATCTTCGGCAAATATGAACAATAATGAAATGGATTGAGATTTTAACAAGTAAATTGATGTCTGCCATAGATCCTGATGAAAAGCAGCGCCAGTTCCAGTTGCGGGGATGCGTCCAGGGTTGTTGATCTTCTTCCCACCATGGGCCCCACGATTGGTTCCAGCCGCTCCAGTAGGTGTGGTTGCCACTGCCCAGAGGCGTGGGATAGGCCTCCTTGTCACACCCACAACGCGGGGAGAGGGGCCTTGCCAGCACCTGAATGCGCTCTCACTCTCGACGAAAATTAGCAGATCAACCAGAACAGCTTGGGCATCACTGGTCGAGGTTGCCATATAAATGCCACAAACTGCTTGGTCTGCAAAAATCGTCCGCCGTGGCAGACACACAAATCGTCGGGGTTGATCTCCTCGACACAGCGGGCCACTTTCTGGATAAACTCAAGCGCAGAAGGCGTCAGGTCGCCCCGCGGAGCGCTGTAGGCAGAAAACGGGTCGGTGATGAGGCGCTCGTAAAGAAGACAGAGCTTTCATAATGCCCAAGCCTCCTTGGCCGCTCCTAAGAGTCCATGTGCTGCGTCAATATCTGGGTTTCGATTTGCTCCATGATTCAGGGAACGGCCATCTCTTCAAAACGCGCAACACGTGCCACTTTCTTGATGTCCGGCATTTTCTCCTGCAGAACGTCGCATTGAAGCAATGAGTTGAAACGGGCACACATTTATCGGGGAGTGCGACGTCGCGCGGCCATGCCTACCGAACGGTAGTGCCTGGGACAGGCTTGAACGCAAGGCCAGGGCCGACCGCCCTATCAGCATCGCGGTTGATGTCGATACGCCCCCGGAGACGGGGAGGCCCTTGTCACTGAAGCTTGGATTTCAAGCAGGGTCATCATTTACGCGGCCCTAAATGCATATGGTCCAACCGCATGCACGTGAGCCTTCGTCGCAACAAGATCAGGCAGTATCGAAGGCATCAAGGACGGCAAGGACCTCGCGCCTGCGCTCTTCTCGTTCATGGCGACGACTGATCGTGATTGAATGGACAGTACAAGTTTTGGGGCGCGGGATTTGCAGCGACACGATGCGTCCGTTCCTGATCAAAAAGCCAACGAAGTGTACCGGTTTGGTTGATGAGAACCTTCCCAAGGATGAGCAGATCAAGCTGCGCTTCGAAACCGCCCGCTACGCTCTCTACTAGAATTGGGCCCGAGTGGTCCATCAGCAGCCCGGGGAGACCCGTGGTCGAAGTGGTCTTTGGCAGCATCTCAAATATGAAGAAGACAACAAATTGGAGGTACGCCGAAGTCATTCACGTGCCCGAGTCGGAGTGCTACGCATGCCATGGTTTGAAGCCTGCTGGATCTATGATGTCAAAGAAACCTTGCGTCGTGCGCGTGCGCTATGCAATTTTGGGGATCGCGCTTTCGGCGAGCGTCCGTGAAGTTTTGACAGAACCAGGCCGGGCGCCATTCTTCGCATGGTCACGGGTATAGTTGGCATTGCGGGTGATGCGCGTGGTTGAACCCCACCGCTTCTGTCACCCAGTCATTGTGACCAGTGATGGAGCGGATGCGCAAGGGCATAATCTTGGATTGTTCCATTGAACACCTCGATATATCCCTCGATACGCTTCGATGCTCTGGCCGCTTGCAGCATGAACAAATTGAGCGCATGTCAATCATATCTGCGCTGGATCCACTTTGCGCCAGCTTCTTGCTCAACGGGAACGCTGATACCCGAGCATCTGACTCACTCAAACACCGTCCTGCCTTTGAACTTGCGGAGACGGTTTCGTTTCTGGAGTTCACTTCCCTTCTCGGCACAAATTACTTTGCCAACGTGACTTCTTTTTGGCCTCTTTTGACGACTTGCAACCATTCACGCACAGTGTTGTAGTCCCACGCGCCCTTGCTTTCAAAAACTGCCATTCAAGATTGAAGCATAGAAGCCGCCAACGTCTACGTCGCTGAGGGGCCCACAAGCCTAGTAGCCTAAAGCCGAGTCACGCCTGGAAGCCTAGAAGCTCTGCTGCGCTTCTGCGCTTTACTGCGCTTCTACGCTTCAGTGTGCTTTCACGCTTCTGCGCTTTCTTGCGCTTTTACGCTTCTGCGCTTAAATGCGCTTCTACGCTTCTGCGCTTAATTGCGCTTTTGCGCTTCTGCGCTTAATTGCGCTTCTACGCTTCTGCGCTTAATTGCGCTTCTACGCTTAATTGCGCTTCTACGCTTAATTGCGCTTTTGCGCTTCTGCGCTTAATTGCGCTTCTACGCTTCTGCGCTGAATTACGCTTTTGCGCTTAATTGCGCTTCTACGCTTCTGCGCTTAATTGCGCTCTTGCGCTTAATTGCGCTTCTACGCTTCTGCGCTTAATTGCGCTTCTACGCTTCTGCGCGTTGTTGCGCTTCTACGCTTTTTTTTGCGGTGTGCGCTTCTGCACTTTAGCTCGCTTCATTGTTTCTGCGCTTTGCTCCGCTTGTTCTGTGCTGCGCTTCTGTGCTTTGCTGCGCCTCGCTCCCCGTCGGCGCTTCTGCGCTTCTCGGCTTCTGCGATTTATTGCGCTTCTGCGCTTCTGCGCTTCTGCGCTTCTCGGCTTCTGCAATTTATTGCGCTTCTGCGCTTCTGCGCTTCTCGGCTTCTGCGGTTTATTGCGCTTCTGCGCTTCTGCGCTTCTCGGCTTCTGCAGTTTATTGCGCTTCTGCGCTTCGCGGCTTCGCCGCTTGACACACCCGGGCTGCAACCCAAATCCCCTTGCAATGCGTGTTCCCTTCACGCTTCCTGAGGTTATCACGTTGAGAAGTCAGCCGGCCAATCAGGGTCACAGCAACAGCAACAGGCTCCACATGGCACGCTCCCTGATTCAATGTGTGGATTGGCTTGGTGCGGCTGGCCAGCCCAATTGAACGGATAGTGGCCAGACTTCCGGGCAGTGGATCCTGCCCAGGCCCAAGCGCACCCTCAAACCCCTCACCTTCCCTCAAAGCAGAACACCGCGCCCGTTCCAGGCCCGTTCCAGGCGCCAATCCCAGGGAGCTTTGGAGGGGGCGGGGAGACCTTAACGTCAGCATTCCCTAACGCAAGGCTAAAAGGCTAAACGTCCAAGATCATTGGTTCACTAGGAACTCCTCAAAACGTAGAAGTGATGTTTGACACGGCCAACCATTCGCATCGTGCTCTATTTCGCCTGGCCAGGCATCGCTTGCAACGGTTCGGTCTCTGCTTCTGCGCCTAATTCTGCGTTTGCGAAGATGACCACGTGCAGGGTGCCAAAGGCGCACCCCTCTGCCATCACCAGAAAGTAGAAAATGCCCATGGTGATTGGCATCACCTGGCTGACAGCAGCCATCAACAATCTTTGCACCACGCAGCTTTCGTGTGCAGCGATGAATGGGTGAATCTCCCTCACATCACGGCCCTTCGCACAGGTCCATGAAGGCTCATGATTTGGGAAGCGACGTGCCACCTGTCAAAAGCCTACGTGAGATGCTGGACGAATATTACGAACGTTGACAATTGACAGCAAGGCTTCCGAACCTGCCTCGTCCCAAACATGAAAAGTCCAGGAACTCAGGGAGTGATTCCAAGGGTACGGCCAAAGGCCGAAGGGCTAGCAGGACTCCGGCCTGCCTCAATCCGCTTGAAGTTGCCATTGACGCGCTGCTGCAGAAAAGTAGCAAGCTCGAAAACACACCAAAGGCGCGTGAAGGATTGCTCCGACCACAAGACCACGAGCTCCTGCAGTCAACCGTGAGTGCCAGAAGTGCGTCTGCTTGCAAAAAAAACAGCCAAGTGCCAGCGGAAAATGAACCAACCACCGAACCTTTAAATCGAATGATCTTTGCAGAAGTCGCTGGCTGCGAATGACCTGGCAAGGAAGAAAGGGATGGTGTCAAAGTGGCTCGTCTAGCAGCGCAGGCCATGTAGCCATCAA